AGCCCTCACTCCCTTCTCCGCCCGCGTTCAACAGGAGGCAGTCAGAGAGAAAAGCAACGTCCACAACCCCATAGAGGAGAAAGGGGAGAATGAAGGGCCCCCACCAGTAAGACGGCGAACTTCCAGCTTCTCTTCTGGGTCCTCGGTTCCCGATGGCGCCACCTGAAGACCAATCACCTCTCCCCCCTCCCATCCCCAGCACCTAGCCAATAGCCACCAGCCCCGTAGAAGTGACACCTCAATCAGCTCATGCCCCTTCCTATATAACCCAGCACCTTTCCCTAATAAAGCGGAATTCTCCAGTGAATTGCTGCTGTGTGTCGCTCCTTTCCTTTCATCCTCCACTGTAAAACAGACACCTTCAGTCTGCGTTATGGACTTTGTAATAGTTAAATCTGGAACTGCATATGTAAGAGGGATGCCTACCACATGGAGCTTGTAGGAGTCCCCAGTGAGGTGCCTAACCACATTGGCTTTTTCTACTGTCTACCAGGGCTGTCATGTGACAGTTTGTCTAAGCACCTCTGACTGTCACATGGGTGATCATCTGACCTCTTCTATTCCCCGCCCCCTGCCCTCGTGTCCCATATACTTCTTTACGGTAACTACATGACTAAACTGGGGAGGTCTAGTAGGCTCCAGGTCCTGTACTTGTGTCACCATAAGTCTGGGGAGAGGAAATCCTGGGGCAAAATACCTCTAAAAACCGAAATCAGTCAAAGGGAGAAATAAAGTTTAAAACCCGTTTATTGCTTACAAAACTGCAGTCTGGCCTCTTCTCTCTCTCTCTCTCTCTCTCTCCTGCCCCAGCAGCAGCCAAAACCAGCCCTCCCCCTCACCTCTAAGGTACAGATAAGCCCTCCAGTTGCCCAGGTAATTACCCACTGATACAGAGATGAACTTCTCCACCCCTGAGGAAAGATGCAAATGCACAAAAGCCATATTTCTTTCCACTTCTGAATGCCTGTTGATATGCAGGTGTACCAAAGCCAGGTGAGATATTCTGGAAAAGTTACAGTTTTACCCACAGTCACCATCACTGTTCCAATCATGGTATTTCCGCATTGAGAACATTCCTTATGATCAAGAGAACTATTACCTATAATCAACAAACCTACTCCCACAATACATTTAGCAGGATCAGTTACAAACACTTCTGTAGGTAGGTATTGGCCCAAAAGAACCCATCTATAAAGTTATACCAATCCACTGTCCAATCTGAAAATTATTTCCAATGTAATTTTCAGATTCCTCAAAGTAATCTGTGCTCAAGGGCACTTCCTGGCACCACAATGTCCAGAAAGCATTGTTTTGCAATCTTGGTCGTCATCATGTCCCTAACATACCTTGACCAGGGCATGTGGCCTTGAGTCCATCTTAGGGAGGGGCAGGTCTTTACTCGAGTCCCATTTGTTCTTAAAGGGAGTAGGATCTGGAAAGAGGCAGTATTGAAAACATGGGATCAATACCAATACAGAAAGCTCAGACCTCTGCAAGGATATCTAGGTCCTCCTGGTCTCCCTGTTTGTCCATGATAAATGCTAAAGCTGCCTGGGCATTCTCCCACTACAGAAGATAAACAAACACATCAGGGAAATTAAAAGTAAAATCACACATGCCCACAAAAAAAGTTAAAAAAGAAAAGTCAGATTATTAAGTGTGTTAGGATGCACAGCAGCTGGAAGTATAAAACATATTTGGTGGAACTGCGATTGGAAAACAACTTTGGAAAACTGGCAGTATCTACTGACGCTAAACATATGTATAATCTGTGATCCAGCAGTTCTTCTACGTGTAGGTGCAACTGAGATGCACACATGTACACAGCAAAAACCAGGAATGTTCATAGAACACTAATCTTAGTAGGCCCAAGCTGAAAAGACAAATGTCATCAACAGTAAATTAACTTTATCAATTAATCTCAGAAACAGAATATTTGGTGAAAAATCAGACTGTTGGGGAAGTGTATATTTTTCTCGGTCTTGGTCACCACCCCAACAAATAACTGAAGGGCAGAGACACTGTAGTGAAGCAGAGTAAAAGTTTTATTTAAAGTTACCTAGGGATAAAGAAGTGCAGGCAACCTCAGTAAGAGATGAGCGCCCTCAAAGGTTGGAGACAAAGAATTTAAGATTAAAAGGTTACACACTTAGAAAGTGGGGACGACCTCAGGGAGAGGAATGCCCTGAGAGGTTGGGGGTTCCCCCTATTTAGAATTCTTAGGGATGTGACTAAGCGCTGGGGTTGCAGACTTATTAAGTGGTCTTTGAATATTTAGAATTAAGTCAACAGGGAAGTTGCTGCTCTGATTTCTCCCTGGGATACTGGCGGCTAGGTCTGGGAGCAGATCAAACAGGCTGCCTGCCCAGCCCCCAAGGCGGGCTGAGCTATTGTCTGTTTGCTGAAGAATAAGTTAAGAATATTACATTTTTAACTTCCTGGATAGTAAAATACAATATTTAAGATGGAATCTTTCCTGTCTTTTACTGTGTTGTGTATGGCTGGGCTTGCATGCTAAATTAGTTGCCTAGGTTACAAAGTCATTAATTAGGGCCTGAAGGAGAAAACAGCATATAGGTAAAAAGAAATTAAGCTGGGCCTACATGATTAACACAAGAAAGACATGGGCTATGCTGAGGTACCTTCCTTTATCTGGGAAATATTCAAACATTCCAGGCCAAGTTGCTCTTGGCTTTTTGAGCTTTAAATGATTAATTTGGGGTCTTCTTTAGTGGACTAGCTGGCATTTTTCTACTTCCACCCTGCTCATATCTATTTTCCTGCCTAACAAGACCAAAAGAGGGAAAAGGGTATATATGCTTATGTAATAGTATATAAAAAAGTATATTTAAAAAAAAGGGCACATACAACATTCATGTAAATTTCAGAATCAGGTAAAAGAAGTCTATGTTGTTGTAAGCCAGATGACTGATACCTCCAAAGGAGACCAGTAGACTTCTGGGGTGGGCCTTACATGGATTTGAGCAATTTACGAAAATTTATCCAACTTTACTGTATAAGTAGCGCACTTTTTTGTATGTTGCATTAACTTTTTTTCCTTTAATTAAAAAAAACCAATAAAACTGTCAGGTACAGCAGCACAACCATACCCCAAAGTCACGAACTAGAGTAAACGCCCTCACACTAACAGGAAAGAGTCTCTCTCCCTATGCTTTCCTCCCCCACAGGCCTGTTGGCTCTTAGTGAGGCAGGTAATAGAGGGATGGAGGCATATAAGAGTTCAGGGATCCTAGGGTATAAGTTTCGTTAAGCTTCAGAGACCTTGTAAGTTTCAAAACAAACAAATAAATAAAACAAACAAAACCCGTCATACTCCGCCATTCAAAAAGTACCTACAGCTTAGCTCTGATGGGCTATGCCCTCAGCACATGCAAATGAAGCATTGGACTTTCAGCCAATCAAAAGTGGGTTCTGATGTTACCAGTTCAGTTCTCTATTTGGTACCGTGAGGGTAGGACTTCTTCCCATCAGGCCTTAAAAACCTCAGGCCCGACAGGACTCTCGGCATCCTTCCTTGGAGCTCCTCCTTGGTGGCAGGAGCTTTCTCTTTTCATTCATTAAAAGAGGTTTGCTGGTTACTCTATACCTTTGTCTGCTGCCATCATTCTTCGTGGCCTCCGAGACACTATCCTGGGACAAACAGCATCGTACTCAGCCAATAACAGTTAGGGCCCCAGGATTCCTCTACTTTACCCTCCCCTCCACAGGCTAGGGCTTCCGGATTCCACCACTCTGAAAGTAGCAATGGGATCGGGTTTTAACCCTGGGAAATCTAAGCGCCCCGCTCCGCGCTCCGGAAGTCCGGGCCACACTACAGGTCCCAGAGGACCCCGCGGCGGAAATAAACTGTGGGCTGAAACGCCAGACAGCGCTGTAGCACGGCCATGACTACAGCTGGTCAAAGTGACTTACTGAGAGGAATTAGGGGGCTAGGATGCAGGCTCTCTCTGGTCGTTCGCATTCTGGACTGCAGTTCCCTGAAGTATCTGGGTGAAACACCCCTTCCTTCTAGGTGGTCAGCGTTGCGCTTGAATGAGGCAAGCAGCGTAGCAGCTGACGCGAGGCGGCCTGTGGGTAGCGCCCGGACAGGACGCCGGGGGAGCTGAAGTTGAGGGTGGTGGTGATGGTGGTGGTGGTGGTGGTGGTGGTGTTGGTGGTGTTGGTGGTGGTGTGTGTGTGTGTGTGTGTGTG